TATGTCTACAGGATTTCGACTTAAAGATTCGGTGATAAATGGTTTTGAATTCCATACAACCATACTTATTATTATTGATACCAAGGAAACACACCAACACAAACGTTTCGTAGTTGCCATCCTTAAATATAAAAGAGGGTTTTGATTGAATATTCCATTAGAAGAGAAGAGTGAGTATACACATGTATATTTAATTAACGCCTCACATAGAAAAAGATTGTGACAAAATATTTCAAATGCATTATTTAAATTTTGGTAATAGAATACTACCTGTTCTGAAATGGGTCAGATATTGTGGTCTGAGTTTTGTAAAGCTAAAGAGAGATAATGCGAATTCTCTGGTTTTCAGATTATAGATTGTTCAGTAATGGAGGGGAAAAAAATCAATTTTCCAATTAAATGCTTCACCACCGAAAAATCAATAATGTTAGCGAGGATAGGCCTACAGGGAAACCATTGCGATGCTAAAAAAAATATTAATACATCCACATTCCAATAATTCTAGTTTCACTTTTGCACACAAATATGTCTGTGTTTTAACACTTTACAAACATTGTGATTGTTAACTATTTTAGGAATTTCCCTTGTGTATCTGTATTTTAATGGTAAAATGTTTAGAGCTCTTAAATCAATGTATGCATCAGTTAATTCGTGTGTAAAAATAGGTTTTGATCATACATCCTATTCTAACAAGGATGCATTTTGAGTCCATTGTTATTTTATATATATATATATATAAATCAATCGATTGATTACATGAATCAAGCAGATTTGGTGGAAAATTTCAGGATGGATTACAATTACTAACTTTATTTGAGCGACGTTTTGACCAGTGTTCTTTGGTATTTATCAGGCATTGAATAATATTACAAAGATTAACAAGCATATAATATATAGGTAAAGAGAAAACAACTTAACAAAACAAAGGATTAAGAACCCAATTAAAGTATATAACTGCTAATGTTTGAGAACTTATCTCTGTTGACTGACGGATTAAGTCTTCTTATTCGGATGGCTTCAATAATTTCCCTTTCTTTCTGATTGCTTTTGTTGATAGCTAATGTTATGGTTTCATTCCAATTGACTTTGTGGCCTGTAACTTTTATATGGTCTTGGATTGCTGATTGGTTGTTGGCTGCATTTGATTGATGTTCTTTGATCCTTTTTTGAAGTGGTCTCTTCGTTTCCCCTATGTACGGTCGAAACGTCGCTCAAATAAAGTTAGTAATTGTAATCCATAAGAATTTTTTCATTTATCGAACACCTTTACTAAATGCCATTCAAAGATAATATACGTCATCAATATGGAGATGAGGCTGTTAACCTTATGAATAAAATTGGAAGATTGGAAGGTAAATATGTTAAAGTCAGCAACAACATTACATTTCTCTTAAGATGCAGAGATAACCATATCGTACCTAAAGGCTTACAGTTGAAAAGTCCCGGCCAATTAAAAAGTCCTATCAAGATCTTGGAAAAAACCAACAAGTCACTAGTACGCGAGAGCAGTCAAAACTTTAGAAATGAAAAACAACGATTGCTATAGATCAAACACAAAACTGTTGAAGAACATCTTATCTTTTGATACATTCACATCATACCGTCTCAAGAAAACAGAATATAACCGACTGCTAGACCAGAAAATCAAACAGAAACAGATAATTAAGTTCCAGCACCTCAACAAGAAAAAAGAATCTGCCAAAGTAGTCGACAACACAGGTCGTCAACAATTACTAACCAAAACTGTAGTCATGCTAAGCCAAAAACAACTAACAGACAAGCAAATTAGTGTATTATCCCGTGGTTTAAAATTTTCACCAGTTTCCGAGAGGATTAACCAAGATGATTTCATAACCGGCATAGAAAAAGGAATCCGACAACTTGCACCAGGGGGCAAAGTGGATTATCTACGTCACCAAATTTATGAAATTCTCTCCAAAACTACTACCAAACCCAACCTCACCAAAGACGAAACTGAGGCCATAAAAGAATCCATAACGATAGTATTAGCCGACAAAGGGAAGGCAACAGTTATCCTAGACAAAGATGAGTATACAGCAACAGTCAACAACCTATTAAGAGATCCCAAAACCTACAGAATCATCCGTAAAGATAAAATCAATACCCTAGAAACCAAGCATACAGCCCACCTATAATCCTTAAAAGAACAAGACCAACTAAAACCTTCTCCCCAACGACCGTCACATGCCAGAGCTAATATAAAAATACATAAAAACACTCCTAAAGCTAGAATTTTAGTGTGCTCAAGAGACTCGGTGTTTTACAATAGATCCACTTGTCTCTCTAAACTGTTATCAAATTTAGGCAAAACAGCAGACTCATTTATCAGTGACTTAAGTGATTTTTGTTCCAAAATTAAAACTATTAGTACATTAGGAAAAATGGTATCATGTGATGTGGTAGATTTATTCACGCATGTCCCCAGAAAAGAAGCCCTAGATGCGCTGCACAATAACGCTACCAACCTCCCTTGATACTAAACTCAGTCCTGAAAATATTACAGCTTTAGTAGATAATTGCCTAAAATCTACATATTTTTCTTGGGGTGATGATTTTTAAGAACAATTCAGAGGATTACCAATGGGCAGTCCACTCTCTCCACTTAGAGCTGAATAGTACATTTTGAACGTCAAGCCCTAACACTATCTCCCATACAACCTTTATGTTGGTACAGAAAAGTGGACGACACCTTTGTCATGTTGAAAGAAGAAGATGACCCACAAAAATTACTAGACCACCTCAACAACCAAAATCCTTCAATAAAATTTACCATGGCAACCAGCTCCGAATACCTTTTCTGAATGTCAATATTAAAGTAACGAATAACGAAGTTGGGAAATCAGTTTATAGGAAACCTACGCATACTGATCAGTATCTCCATTATAAATCCAACCACTCCCTACAAACGAAAAAAGGCATCATTTCCACCCTTACCAAACGTGCTGTAAATATTTGCAGCAAGAAAATCTTCAAGAAGAAATCAACCACCTTAAACATGTATTTATAAACCTAAACCAATACCCTAAACACCTAGTCAACCAAACAATAGCTAAAGCCATGAAACCGCCAACAGCAAAACCAACAGCTAAACCAGAAGCTCCACCTATCAGAGTGAACATACCATTCAATGGGAACTCATCTTACAAGATCAAAGATTGTTAAAATAAAATGGGATTGAAACTGTTTTTACTGGCCAAAATACACTAAATATATCATTCATGCAAATGGTAAACTACAACCAACAAATCAAGCTGACCCCAAAGGATGTGTTGACCAAGTTTTTTGTTCTTGTGGGGAATCGTACATAGGGGAAACGAAGAGACCACTTCAAAAAAGGATCAAAGAACATCACGCAAATGCAGCCAACAACCAACCAGCAATCCAAGACCATATAAAAGTTACAGGCCTCAAAGTCAATTGGAATGAAACCATTACATTAGCCATCAACAAAAGCAATAAGAAAGAAAGGAAAATTATTGAAGCCATCCGAATAAGAAGACTTAATCCGTCAGTCAACAGAGATAAGTTCTCAAACATTAGCAGTTATATACTTTAATTGGGTTCTTAATCCTTTGTTTTGTTAAGTTGTTTTCTCTTTACCTATATATTATGCTTGTTGGTCTTTGTAATATTATTCATTGCTTGATAAAGACCAGAGAACACTGGTCGAAACGTCGCTTAAATAAAGTTAGTAATTGTAATCCATAAGAATTTTTTCATGATATCAAACACCTTTACTAAATGCCATTCAAAGATCATGTTAGAGATCTACTGATGTTATCATACGCTGATGATGTCAGTATTTTTTTCTGACACAATCGGAGATTTACTTACAAAAAAATATTCTTAAAAACTTTTGCTCAGATTTTATCCTTGAAATCAATACCAAAGTGGTCGGATTTAGAAATGGTGTAATACTTTGTAATACAATCGCTATAACGTCCAATACAAGCTTTACTACGAAAACCCCGATCAAACTCAGTATCTATTAGTTTTGAGAGTTCTGATTGTATTGTTAAACCAGTTTTATTGTACGATGCAGTTATATGGGGATATGAATATAGAAAAGATACAGAAGTTGTGCAGTCCCAGTTTGCAAATTCTCTCTTCAAATTCGCAAGAGCAGCACCGCGACTGGAGCCATGGGATAGTGCGGTCGTTACGTATGAGCTGTCTATTATATATTGGATACGATTCATATGTTTGGATTATAAAAAAGGTACCCGAATCAAGTATATGTCAAGTTAAAGAGGCTTGATTCAGTTGGTAGGATAACCTGGGTCACCAAAGTCCGTTTACTGTCAAGTTCTATTGGTTTTGGATATGCTTGGAATATTCAGGAAGTGGGTATTCTTGACGCTGTAAAAGTACGTCTCATTGATGTAAACATTCAGGAATGGTCTGAAAAGATTCATCAAAGTGAGAGCTTAAAAGATTATAGTTGGTTGGTAGATGACACGTTAACGTTCGCTTCCAGCGGATGCTGATATCGCAAACTAGGTAGTTTTTGGTAGTCGTAGTAGTTGGTAGTTGCATTGAATCAAATTGGATGATTCGGTGTTGTTGGTTTGGTTGTTGATTCTTGTTAGATCTGGTCGGGTCGAATGACATGGCGGTGAAACTCGGCCCTGGATGGTGTTGCGTGAGTTACTGGATCTCCTTCATTCTTCCAAACTCGTTCTAATCATGGTATTTCTTGTTGATTGGTAGTCGAATGGTAGTCGTTGGTTTGGTTTGGTTAGATTATCTGTTATCTGTTGGAAAACTAGAAGACCTGAAAAAAAAAAGAAAAAAAAAAGAAAGAGAGAAAAGAGAGGGAAAATAAAAAGGAGGAAAAGCTTTCAACAAAAGGTGGAAAGATGTTCTCTGATGTTTCTGCAATGAAACTTGCTAAATTGATTGGATATAATTAAAAGTGTTAAGAAACTTTGAGAATAAAAAACTTAGCCTATCTGTTCAAGACAGATTCGGTTATAAAAATGGAAGACGAGTTCCATTATCGTATACCAGTGGTCCGTGGGTGGAGCCAAAACATTCTGTATGGTGAGGGGTATGCCGTTGGTTTCCAGGTAATCTGTCAGTGGCTTACGAGCGGGTTTCAGTTCAGTGCATTGAATGAGGACATGTGACCTTGTAGCAACGTGGCCGCAGCAACATTTAATGTTGAACTGGTGGTCTCGTAGTACGTTTAGCGTGTTCGTTTACTCACTCGAGCCAACTCGTGCCTGGCCCGAGAGTGTTCTATTACTTGGTCACGTGACATCTCGCGCTTACTCGGGCCCGACCTAACTAATCGGCTTGTCGGGTGGGTTAGTTAGGGAAGCATCCCATGATTCATTCATTCAAGATGGTTGCAAATGCTACACTACAAATTCGACAAAAAAGACTAATTTTAAAAATTTCATAAGAGAATTGCAATTTCGAGGCATTTGTGAAAACATTTCATGAAGCTGCCTGGGCTAAAGCATTAAGTGAGTGAAAAAGTAGAAAACAATTATTATGTTATGTATGTTTAGCTGGTAAGTTCAGTTCTTTGAGTAAAGGGTTGAGAATGGTGATGTTTGTTCTAACGTTGAACTGTTAAAGAGATTGTTGCACATAATTATAGGGGCCCGTTGTGGCCGATTGGTTAGAACGTTTGTTGCTCTTGGTGAATGTCACTGGTTTAAATTCTGGGCACGGGGTTGCAAACATGTTTTAAGTTCAATCGAGAAATTGTTTTTGCGCTTTTTGGCCATGTCATATTACATATCTGGGCGTTATCCTCGATTGTCTAATCCAATGTACTGACTTGAAAAGGGGGTATTCGTTCGGATGAGATGAATACTGTGTTTCCGATTTATGATATTGATGTATGATATACGATATTGTTGTATATTTAAGGATTGTATAGAGCAGAGAATAATATTATGCTAGAGTCGCTTGGTATAATATCATTAAACCAGAAAAGTGCAACACAACAACCGACGCCACCTCTTGTACCTAGGCTTAGACTTTCTGTTACTACACCCCCGACACGGTTCCTAGTACCAACACCGGCAATTACACTTCCAGTGCCCAGACTACCTGTTAGACTTCCAGTACCCACACCACCGGTTAGACTATCTTTAAAAGCATTGAACGTGGTATGTAAATTGCATTTTATAAAAGTATCCGAAAATGAATATTCTTCGTTTAATTGGTGAACTAGGTACGAATCATTAATTTGTGAATCACCAATCACCAGTCTTTAAGGTTTATATAGGCATTATCGGGAAAAAATAAAACCTTGATTAATTTAGTGTCAACACGGAGATGCTATAATATATTGTATCATTTATGTAAAACATACAATATAGCTATATTTTTATGGATTTTTAGTGTCGAATATAACTGTAGCTGAACAAATGTCACCCACAACGTCCAAAGCAAGCAGTATGTATTATATTCAAAATAACAATATTCTGAACTTAAATTTGCTGTGTGGCACGGTTATGAATGGTCGCACGACCAGAACGTCTGGGCGGAATTTAGATTGTGAGATGACAATTGTGATTACCCTTCTTTGACTTCCCAGGACGTTCGTTGCCGATTTGTACAACGGACCTTTATTATTGCCTCATCTGAACAAATTTGTGTATAGACCAGCCTTCATTATTCTCATCGATCTTATAGTGTTGTGGACGTGATATTGTCAAAGTAAATATTCACAATATTGACTATTTAGTGGATGCTTACCCCAAACACTGGTTGTTTTTTCATATAAGTATTATTTGATATCGCATGTTATATAATATACATACTTTTATATTCTAAGCTCAAGACATGGACATGCTCGGAAACAAAAAGGTTTATCACACTTGTGGGTGAGAGAATGGACGATTTGAAAGCGTCGAGGAATAAACAATCAGTATGGAAGTCAATTTAGCATGATCTTGGTGTAGCCGTAATCACAAAAGTACAAAATGTGAAGATAAATGGAAAAATCTAAAAAAAGGTTACCGTGATTATTGCCAGACTATCAATCGTACAGGTGCTGCGCCTTCTAAATTCGAATTCAGTAGAGAAATGGGAGAGATAATGGGGAATGACCCTACGGTAATTCCAATATTAACGATCGATTCGGAGGGAAGGTCAAAGCGAAATTCAGGTTACGAATCATATATATCACTGATATGGCAGATTCCAATGAAAGCACCGAAAATTCGCGAAAGAGAAAAACGCCTGATACTACGAGTGATAAGAAATCCAAGAAAAGTCGTGGTGGTATGGATGAGGTACTAAAGTATCTTAAAGAAAAAAATGACAATTTAATGAAAGAAATGAAATCTATGCACGATCAAAATATGGAAGTGTTGAATAAAATAGCTGATAAACTCTAATGTTATTTAATGTCTTTCATATAAAATTCACATTTAAGATACACGATTTGTCGATTGTATGGGCATCAGCCAAACTAGGGTCTGTAAAACGCTTGGGGCAGGCGGTGTGTAACCCAACCGACTATATCGACATTGTCAAACTTGATTTCCATTTCTACAGTTTGTATTTACACGTACAACTACTGATTAGTCATGAGAAGTTCTTCGATATCTCTCCTTGATAAGTGTCCATCATTAAGTATAAGTGGCAAACACGTATTTACTGGCTCCTCTACAATTTCATCGATACAGTCATCATCATTCCGGATGCATATGTTGTGCATTACACAAGACGATAATATGGTGTGGCACAGTAATTCAAAATCTAAAATGTCAAGGTGTTGTAATCTTCGAAAACGATCTAAAAGCTCGCTCAATCGCTACTATTGCCGATTTCAAACGCCTATTAAAAACTTTACCATTATCTTTGTGAGGAGTCATTAACCAGCTGAGTAGAGGATACGCAGAATCTCCGAGCAAAATATCTTGCTCCCTGAATTTTTCGCCACTCTCTTTAACTACAGCAGAGTTCCGGAATACTCTAGCGTCATGGGTGCTACCAGGCCATCCTGTGTACACGTGTGAAAAGGAGTTCATGGTCATAAACTCCTTGCAGCACTACAGAATGGTACTTTTTCCTGTTGATATAGGATACAGGATTATCCTCTTTTTTCGGAGCTTTCATCGATATGGGAGATCCATCAATAGCCCCAATCACACCGGGAAATTTACAGTTGTCTGCAAACCCTTTGGAAATAACATCTCGTCTGCAGTTTGATGGCCAATAAATTTTGTCTTTCATCAAATTATTAATAATACAGGACTTCGAAGTACCACATCTATCAGAAATAGATCTGAATGAAACAGGTAGGAAAACCATTGCTTGCTTGGAGATTGCAACAAGGGTCTTGTCATGACTGTTGGTGTGGATCTCGGGCCATGAGATATTTAAAAATTAATTCATAAATAAAAAGAAAATACAGCTGGCACATTAAATTTGGAAGGCCGCGTATACAAATCACGTTTTGAGCCAGGTTCCTACTGTCGTGCGATCCGTTTCGAACATCAAGATTGGCCATCGTAGCCGATCGTGGACTTTCAGGATTGCGACTCGAGTCGATATTTTCTGAAACATTTTTATTTTGCGTTCGTTTTCGAGCTGTTCTGTTATCAATTCTATGTGTCATGGGCTGATATTCCGATCCGATATGAGCCCCGAGTCCCTGATTGGAAATCTAACCGACATCACTATAATACTGGGTTCCCTGAACTTGAATGATCTGGTACATCCAGATACGTTGCGATACGTTAATCAACAACCGATGTGTTGATCTGTTACGCTAGAATATGATTTTGGTCGCTTTGTCCATGACGATCATGGTCGAGGGCGATCATTTTTAGGCTATCCTGGATATCGATATACTATACATTCTTAATTGAGTCTTTAACTTTTATGCACGATTTCCACTATCATTTTTTTTTTAAATCGTTCAAGATGTTTTTCATATTAACACTATGATAGAAAGAATTGACCCAAAGATCTGATAGAATAATCACGGTAAGTCCACGATTAAGACCACGACTCGTGCCGCAAATCGTGGTAGTATAGTGTGAACCAAAATTGAACATATTGTGTATAAATAGGTCCTTGGTAGTTACTGCGCATGCCCAGGTAAATATTTAATGACGCTATTGCTACCTTTTGCCTTGTGTTTTTTTAATCTCCATTCGTGGAGAAGAATGAGTATCAAAATTCAATATTGTTTTTTTTTTTTTATTAGATATCAAACAAGCTGTGTTGCTCGGGTATTGCCCGAGATTATATGAATATGTGAAATATTGAATTAAGATTAATAAAAAGGCGCAATTGAAGCTTTATCAAAATAGAACGAAAAGCGTGTTACATAAAATCAAAACGTCGATTAACAAGTATACGGTTAACAATAAGCCACTTAGAACATAAAATTCGCTATTTTCAAAGTTCCAAAGTCCCGATATTATTAAATGTACAGCATTGGAAAACAAAAACTAATACGGATTGAATACAATTTTTGACCTATGTAAAATAGGTCACTTGACAGAGAAATGAAAGATCTAAAACCGGATATAACAAAAATGAATAGCATTGGATAGATCTGTTCAAGCACAAAACCTTTCAATCAGTTCATGTAATGTAATGTTTATTGCAAAGAGCCTTTAAAGATGGGTTACCCTATTTTTTAGTGTCAAATTCAGCAAACTATTTGACTAATTGATGTTTCTAATGAATTAGCATGTATTCTTAATTATATCATTGTTTTTATTGCATATTTTAATAGTTTTGACCAATCATAAATGTCCATGTATGTACAGTCTGGATAAAAAAAAATACTCTTTGACCTTTCTTGATCGGTCACTCATTGAAATTCTGCTGGTAATTCTCTTCTAATTTAGCTGATTATGAATTAATTATGGGCATGTGAGACAAACTGGTATTTCTCCAAGGCATTTGAACGCCTCTACTTTCATACATAAAAATAAGAGAGGCCATGTTTTATACAATATAAACAATATACAATATAAACAATATATACAATACGGAGATAATGCAATATTAAAAGTGTGATTAACAAAAATACTAAAGAGAATATAAAACTATTGAATAATATAAGTCATCTATAAATCTCTCTTCTTTTGTGCCACTAGTAGTTTAATATATTTTGCACGTAGCTCATTATAATGATTACATTCCAAGATAAAATGATATTCGTTCTCTGTTGAAAGTATATAAAATACAAAATGATTATTTCGTTTTAACTAAATACCCTATGTTTATTTCGTTTAAACGAAATTGAGGACGTTCGTTTTAACGAAATAATTAATTTGTTTAAACGAAATAATTAATTCGTTTAAACGAAATAATTAATTCGTTTAAACGAAATAATTATTTCGTTTTAACGAAATAATTAATTTGTTTAAACGAAATAATTAATTCGTTTAAACGAAATAATTAATTCGTTTAAACTAATTATAAATAAATATGTTTACAATTGCGCCTTAGGGGCTCCGTAGCTTTGATACTGTGGTACGGCTCTAGTTTTTTATAATATATTGATCTTAATTCTTCGGCAATAACGAGTATTTTTTATATGTTCAATATTGAAACAGATGTATTTAAGTCCCGAGAAAAAACCGACTTTGTATTTTATATACTTTCAACAGAGAACGAAGAGATTTATAGATGATTTATATTATTCAATAGTGTTATATTCTCTTTAGTATTTTTGTTATTCACACTTTTAATATTGCATTATCTCCGTATTGTATATATTGTTTATATTGTATATTCTATATTGTTTATATTGTATAATATTGTATAAAACATGGCCTCTCTTATTTTCATGTATGAAAGTAGAGGCGTTCAAATGACTTGGAGAAATACCAGTTTGTCTCACATGCCCATAATTAATTCATAATCAGCTAAATAGAAGAGAA